GTCCCGGCCCTTCCCGCCCCCTCCAGCTCCTGGAGGCCCCATCCCCACCTCTCAGTGGCCACGGGGGACCAAGAAGAAGACACCAAATCCCCTCCAGCAGCTCTTCCCGAGGGATTGTCCCCAAATCCTCCACCACCTCCTCCTTCTTCTCCTCCTTCCACACCAGCAGCTCTTCCCAAGGGGTTGTCCCCACGTTCTCCACCACCACCTCATCCTCCTCCTCCTTCTTTTCCTCCTCCTCCTCCTTCTTCTTCTCCTCCTCCTTCTTCTTCTCCTCCTCCTTCATCTTCTCCTCCTCCTTCATCTTCTTCTCCTCCTTCATCTTCTTCTCCTCCTTCTTCATCCTCTTCTTCTTCTTCCTCTTCTCCTTCTTCCACATCATCCCCCCCAGCAGCTCTTCCCAAGGGATTGTCCCCACGTCTTCCACCACCTCCTCCCACACCCTCCCAGTTGACTCCAGTGGCTCCAGTTGCCCCCTCACCCCCTCGCCCGGTGTCTCCTTCCGCCTACATGCGCCGGTTGCCTCCGCCCGCCGGGTCCTACATCCAACGGGAGCACAGTTACCCCGTGGGAAGTGCCCTGAGGTGGAAACGTCGGGCAGAAGCTGCCCTGGATGCCCTGGATCGGGCCCAACGGCAGCTCCAGGCCTGCATCTCCTCGTGGATTGATGGGTTCTTCTCATGGATTGGGAGGTTCTCATGGATTGATGGGTTCTCCTCGTGGATTGATGGGTTCTCCATGTGGATTGATGGGTTCTCATCATGGAATGGTGGGTTCTCCTCATGAAATGATGGGTTCTCCTCGTGGATTGATGGGTTCTTCTCATGGATTGGGAGGTTCTCATGGATTGATGGGTTCTCCTCGTGGATTGATGGGTTCTTCTCATGGATTGGGAGGGTCTCATGGATTGATGGGTTCTCCTCGTGGATTGATGGGTTCTCCTTGTGGAACAGTGGGTTCTCATGGATTGGAGGGTTCTCCTTACGGAATGGGGTGTTCTCCTCATGGATTGATGGGTTCTCCTCATGGATTGATGGGTTCTCCTCATGGATTGATGGGTTCTCCTCATGGATTGATGGGTTCTCCTCATGGATTGATGGGTTCTCCTCATGGATTGATGGGTTCTCCTCATGGATTGATGGGTTCTCCTCATGGATTGATGGGTTCTCCTCATGGATTGATGGGTTCTCCTCATGGATTGATGGGTTCTCCTCATGGATTGATGGGTTCTCCTCATGGATTGGAGGGTTCTCTTCATGGATTGATGGGTTCTCCTCATGGAATGATGGGTTCTCATGGATTGGAGGGCTCTCCTCATAGAGTGATGAATTCTCCTTATGGATTGATGGGTTGCTCATGGATTGGAGGGTTTTTCTCCTGGATTGATGGGTTCTCCTCATGGAATGGTGGGTTCTCATGGATTGGAGGGTTTTTTGTCATGGATTGAAGGGTTCTCCACGTGGATTGGGAGGTTCTCCTCATGGATTGATGGGTTCTCATGGATTGGAGGGTTCTCCTCATGGAATGGGGGGTTCTCCTCATGGATTGATGGGTTCTCCTCATGGAATGATGGGTTCTCATGGATTGGAGGGTTCTCCTCATGGAATGGGGGGTTCTTCTCTTGGTTGGAGAGTTTTCCTCATGGAGGGAGGGATTCTTGGCCTGGCATGGAGGGTTCTCCTGGCATGGAGGGTTCTCCTCCTCCAGGGAAGTTTTTCCTCCTCTTCCCCACCCTGGGAGGTTTGTAAATAAAGGGTTTCTCATGTTTGGTTCTTTTATACAAGGAATCAAAGGGTTTTGGGGGGGATTTTTGTCTCAGCGGTGACAAAGAGCGGGAATTGAGTCTTTAGGGACCCAAAGACTGGGAATTAGGACCCAAATATTGGGAATTAGGCCCCAAATATTGGGAATTAGGCCCCAAGTAATTGGAATTAGGCCTTGAAGGTCCCAAGTCATGGGAATTAGGCCTTAAAGGACCCAAATAATGGGAATTAGGACCCAAATAATGGGAATTAGGCCTTGGAGGTCCCAAATAATGGGAATTAGGGACCCAAATAATGGGAGTTAGGCCTTGAAGGACCCAAGTAATGGGAATTAGGCCCCAAGTAATTGGAATTAGGCCTTGAAGGTCCCAAGTCATGGGAATTAGGCCTTAAAGGACCCAAATAATGGGAATTAGGACCCAAATAATGGGAATTAGGCCTTGGAGGTCCCAAATAATGGGAATTAGGGACCCAAATAATGGGAGTTAGGCCTTGAAGGACCCAAGTAATGGGAATTAGGCCCCAAGTAATTGGAATTAGGCCTTGAAGGTCCCAAGTCATGGGAATTAGGCCTTAAAGGACCCAAATAATGGGAATTAGGACCCAAATAATGGGAATTAGGCCTTGAAGGCCCCAAATAATGGCAATTAGGCCCCAAATAATGGCAATTAGGCCTTTAAGGACTGGAATAGTCAGAATTATTAAACCTTTAGAGACCCAAAAAATGGGAATTTCTCCCAAATAACAGGAATTGGGTTTTTAAGGATCCAAATAAATGATAAATAAGAATAAAAAAGGGCATTATTAAACCTTGAAGGACCCCAAGAATCGGAATGGAGACTTAGAAGAGCCAACACGTCAAGATTGAAGCCTTTTAATTTGATCTCTGAGGTAATTAATTAGTGTCCTGAGGTAATTAATGAACGAGCAGCTCCAGCTACAGGTTGAGTTTCATGTCCAAGATGGCAGCGTGGATGTCGGGGCTGAGGGGGACGTAGGACCTCTTGGTGTCATGGCGGAAGAACAGGGGGTCTTGGATGACCTTGGGGTCGAAACCCTCCTTGACCAGGTTGCTCTTGCACTGCTTGAAGGTTCCCGTGATCTCCAGAGCTTCCTGGGGGAGGGGACACCAGGGTTGGGGTGATGGCCCCGGAAGGGGGGACATGGGTGGTTGGTATGGGGTGACTACCCATGGGCACATGGTGACCACCCATTGGCATGGCATGACCACCCATTGGTGACCACCCATGGGCACGTGGTGACCCCCCATTGGCATGGCATGACCCCCCATTGATGACCACCCATGGGCACGTGGTGACCCCCCATTGGCATGGCATGACCCCCCATTGATGACCACCCATGGGCACGTGGTGACCCCCCATTGGCATGGCATGACCCCCCATTGATGACCACCCATGGGCACGTGGTGACCCCCCATTGGCATGGCATGACCCCCCATTGATGACCACCCATGGGCACGTGGTGACCCCCCATTGGCATGGCATGACCCCCCATTGATGACCACCCATGGGCACGTGGTGACCCCCCATTGGCATGGCATGACCCCCCATTGATGACCACCCATGGGCACGTGGTGACCCCCCATTGGCATGGCATGACCCCCCATTGATGACCACCCATGGGCACGTGGTGACCCCCCATTGGCATGGCATGACCCCCCATTGATGACCACCCATGGGCACGTGGTGACCCCCCATTGGCATGGCATGACCCCCCATTGATGACCACCCATGGGCACGTGGTGACCACCCATTGGTGATGACCCATTACCAGCACCTGACCACTGACCCCCCATCAGCATGTGGTGCCCACCCATTGGCACGGAATGACCACCCACTGCTGCACACCCACTGGTGCCCACCCACGGGCACGCGGCGCTCACCAGAGCCCTCCCACCCTCCCCCCCAAGTCCTCCTTGGCCCTGTGGCCACCAAAACCCTCCTCCAGAAGCCCCCCCACCCAGGTGGGGCTGGTGGGACCACCCACCTGCAGGCGCAGGAAGCGGGGGGCGGCGTAGCCGGGCAGGGTCTCCTGGGTGAACCTGAAGAGCTTCTCCCCATCGAAGGACTTGGACCACTAGAGGAGCACGTGGTGGTCCCAGAACGTGTGACCCTTCCTGGTGACTACTTGGACCACTAGAGGAGCACGTGGTGGTCCCAGAACGTGTGACCCTTCCTGGTGACTACTTGGACCACTAGAGGAGCACGTGGTGGTCCCAGAACGTGTGACCCTTCCTGGTGACTACTTGGACCACTAGAGGAGCACGTGGTGGTCCCAGAACGTGTGACCCTTCCTGGTGACTACTTGGACCACTAGAGGAGCACGTGGTGGTCCCAGAACGTGTGACCCTTCCTGGTGACTACTTGGACCACTAGAGGAGCACGTGGTGGTCCCAGAACGTGTGACCCTTCCTGGTGACTACTTGGACCACTAGAGGAGCACGTGGTGGTCCCAGAACGTGTGACCCTTCCTGGTGACTACTTGGACCACTAGAGGAGCACGTGGTGGTCCCAGAACGTGTGACCCTTCCTGGTGACTACTTGGACCACTAGAGGAGCACGTGGTGGTCCCAGAACGTGTGACCCTTCCTGGTGACTACTTGGACCACTAGAGGAGCACGTGGTGGTCCCAGAACATCTGACCCTTCCTGGTGGCCACTTGGACCATTAGAGGAGCACCTGGTGGTCCCAGAACGTGTGACCCTTCTTGGTGGCCACTTGGACCACTAGAGGAGCACGTGGTGGTCCCAGAACATCTGACCCTTCCTGGTGGCCACTTGGACCACTAGAGGAGCACGTGGTGGTCCCAGAACGTGTGACCCTTCTTGGTGGCCACTTGGACCACTAGAGGAGCACGTGGTGGTCCCAGAACATCTGACCCTTCCTGGTGGCCACTTGGACCACTAGAGGAGCACGTGGTGGTCCCAGAAC